TTGCTTGATTTTGCCTGCGCTTTGCATACCAACAATTAATGCAGAATGATTCAAGCACTTTCCTTCTTTTTCAGATATCAAAGCTAGTTTTGTTGCCATGTAAAATTTTGATTTCCTTGAAGTCCTGTCAATGAATTAGAAGAAAAAGAAAACAAATAAAGAATATAGCCAAATTCCATCAAATTGTTTTCTGTATTTTTTAGCGCAAAATTTCGAAGGGCACTTTGAAATCTAGACCGTATTTTCCAATACGGCAAATACGGTCTGAATCCGCCCCTGGTACGTGCACACGCGAAGACTGTACATAGCATTACAACGACATAGATGCATGAGTATGTGTACTGTATGGTTGAAATACAAAATATTTTGTCACAAATGACCTGACCCGGAAGAATTCGTGGCTAAGTTCGCGCATGGTTCCATTGGGACTAGAATTCTTCTTCGATATAGCTGGAATTAGACTTGTGAATTTCGACTTAGACGAAGATTTATCAAAGTAAAAACATAAGGAAAGATCGGGACTTTTGTGGAGCTTCTACTTCGCCGATTTTTCGACTTGTGCGATGTCGACTTAGGCGAGGTCGACTGTACTACTAGATGGGGGCAATGTAATTTTGGATTTCCTGAAATTGTTCCGCTTCCACACTTGAACTAATGCAAATTAAATTTATTTTTTATCAACTTAGGTGTGGAATATGCTAAGTGACTTGCAGATGGAAGCACCTGAGGAGTATCACAAGTTGCTCAAGTCGTCTATGAACGAAATTCTACCTCCTCGGGCAAATATGTGTTTTTCTACAGTAAGGTAAGATTTTCATATCAATAAGTTCTTGATTATTGTAGCAAATAATTAGTTGAATATTGTTAAATTTAATGCCATAGTGGTGATTACTCAGGATGTCAACTTTTTTCTAAGGTTAGAAATGACACAAGAGTCTTTGTCAATGTCTGCCAGTGGAATAAAGTTCCTGCACCACGTTCTAAGTGTGAAGCAATCTCAATGTTGGCTGGAACCTGGGATACAGGATTTGACCAGAAAGGTACTTTTAAAGTTTTTAAATTCATTTATTGATTATCTTTCTTGCTCATTAAATTGAAATTTGAACGTTACCGAAACAACTTATATTTCAGGTTCGTTCAGTGTGACTGCCGTCGCTGTAAATTCTTCAGTCTTGGAAGAATGCTGCAGTAACAATGAGGAACGTCAGATGTTGATAGACCTGATTATTTCCTTCATTGAACATCATTCTGCTGTCAGTCTCTCACACACATACTCCTTGCTGCCAGATACCAACTTTCAGCCTGGCCTCAAAACGCTCAGCCTGGAAAAGTTCTTTGTAGTGCAGCCCCGTATTGGTGACGGATCACTGTTGACACCAAATCCCTCATCCCTCGTCAATGTCCTATCAGAGAAGAGAAATTCTGCAAAGCCTACCACCATAGCTAATTCAACATTAAGTGGCAGTGCTGATAATCACAAAAAAGAGTCAACTGCAAGTAACAGTTCTAAACCAGAACCGTCTCTAGTGGACTATTATAAAACGCAATTAAAAGAAGTTAAAGATCATGGGTCTGATATGATGCCAAATGATAAACACTCGCCAGCACCCAGTAGTGAAATTTCGGGGCAAGATCGTGATGTAGTTATTTGCTCAACACCCACTTTATTGGATATGAACGAAGTCTCGACTAAACACAGCACGGATTTGAGTGCAAAAAAGAGTCATGTAACAACACCAAAGCATGTGGTTGAAATACTGCCACAAGAGGGAGCATGTGCGAAGAGAGTTCAGGTCACCATCACACTGCAAGGCATATTGACAGCAGCTAGTTGTCAGCTTGATGTTACGCAGGAGGATCTGACAGTTGTAGCTGGGCAGTACAGTCTCAATTTGAAAATGCCCTTCATGGTGGATGTTGACTCTGTTTCTGCAAAATTTGATAAGTCAACGAGTATACTCGTGGTCACATTAGACATCAAGCCATAGAAATAACCAGTATGGAATTTTTGTATGTCACCTTTACCAATAGTAAACCACTCCACCACAGAGTCACCACAGTAGACGTGAGATGAGCGCTGTCGCTCTGCGGCACTTGTTAGTTCTTCGAATATGTATGGAATATTTCATGTCTTCTTCCAGATGTTATACCTATTGTCCAAATATGTTATGAATGTGTTCTCTAACAGGCCAACGTGTGTCGATGTGTCTGGGCCTGTCACATCTAAATATAGTCGAGTAGAGAAATGATTAAGGATGATGCATGCTCAATTCATCTAGAATAATGTCATGCACTTATTAGATTATTGCAGAGTGATATTTCTTATCTCTCTTATAAGCAGCGTTTTGTGATGTACAGTTGAATCATAAGTCATACATGCAGTATTGGTTGCTTTTGGTGTCCTGATTATATCAACGAAAATATAATAGGTTGAATGCTAACGTACCCCACATAGGGAAACCAAGCACTAACGTTGGTGCCCCCGCTGTCCATCATTGCATATGAATGCTCTTTATATTCATAATATTTGTAACGTTTTGCTTATATAAGGTTATACTCGTAATAATATATGTAAGATTTGCTTGCGTAATATTCCACAGGCTGCAAATTAAAGCCATACAGGAATTCAGGCAAGCAGTTTTATCTATATAGAGTTATCTATAGTTTTATCTATATAGAGTTATCTATAGCTTTATCTATAGAGTTTGATATGAATTTCTGTCGCCGACAGACATTTGCTGTAGTTCCTCGAGAATACTAATATAGTGTCATGTCGCGATCAAGTTCGTACTGTGACTCGCTCTACTCTGTATGAATCCAAGGGTGGAACTCATCATCTATAGAATCTGTAAACCTGAGTCTACAGTAATTGAATTCCCCACGTTCACTGCCGGGCTCTAGTAGCCGTATAGTAGCCGTATATATAGTAGCCGTATAGCTAGTAGCTATAGTGCCGTATTGTCTATTAATGGTCATTGCGTTGAAATATAGCGAAAAAATATATATCGGGTAATAGCTATTTATTCCATAACGTTGTTTAGAAGTTGCCACGGTACCGGACCAATGTTGATACTATTACGTGATAAAATAGCGAACTGCTCACGGCCAGGAACACAAATGTTATAACTATAGTCACTGCTTGACATCATGCGCCTTGACTTTACTATAATCTGTTGTACCAGCAACAACTATTATATCCTGTATATCTACGATCGACACTTATATAAGGAGGTGTCAACCACGCCTGACTCGGAATTTTACAACGTAGGCCCTACATTACTTGCCCTTGCGTTTCTTCTTGATTTACCCATGTATTTACCACATGTAATACTAATGTTATTACCACATGTGTTACTGCCTGATAGACATGTCGCTGCCAGATTGACTAAGTGTTAGTGCCTGAAAGATCTTTTCTACTGATTTACGGATCCTACTGTGTGACGGACTTGTATTGCTGTTTGATGGACACTGGTGTTGGTTGGTGTTAACTTACGTGCGGCGTTACATTTATCGTGATTACCTAGTAGTGGCGCAAAACATTTTTACGTGATTACGAAGTACTTTGTAATGAAATATAAATATATAATAATAAATAAATAATTGGATCAATCAAACCATTCATGGGAACCACTGCTTTACGTAGACTATACGGAGTGGCGGGTAATTCTGTTTCTAGTAAACTGCTTCGAGTATCATGTGTACCGTGTACGATGCTGGAGGGTTCGATGCATCAAGCGATGAACTGACGATAATGCCCGGGGGGGGGGGTGCACTCGCCTCGGAACTGGGTAGGGGGGTGCCTCCGCGACATTGAAAACCTGACCTTGTCGCAAACCGCTTTGCGCCCTAAAATACACCCTGTCCCAATATGCTGCACTAAAAAGTATACCCTGTTGCAATATTGCACATTTCGGTTATGTCCTGTCCTGTAAATATATATAGGCAGATTGATAGATAGATAGATAGATATTGGCCCAATATTGGACCAATATCTGCCTATAATTGTCCAATATTGGCCTGGTGATATTGGCATAATATCAGCTTGATGGGTGTGTATCTAGATAACCCTGTGACAATAATGATGCTCGGAAAATATACCCTGTGCCAATAATGATGTTCGGAAAATATACCCTGTCCAGCGGCACGTCCCCATGGTCAGTACCTTTCAGTGCTTTCACAATGGGAGTGCCCTCCGCCCGGGCGATAATGATGACCAGGTTTGTCGTCCTGATGTTCTGCTTCCACGCTAGAGAGTAAGGTTACGTCCTTGTCGCTGTACTTGTCGCTGCGCACCTACTGTCCGCCGTTTCATCTACACCGTCGCCAGTATACGCTGGTAACATACGGTCACTATTTAGCAGGGATTAATAATGATGTTATTATTAATGTAATTAAATTAATTAGTATTAATGTCATTATTAACCCCTGCTATTGGTAAGGTAGTAATTCCGTATGCCGCTATTACATACACGTGGTCATTATTCAAGATGGTCTAGATTTTGGAGCAAAATAAAAAAATAAGCCTAGCTAATAATCGTAAATAACCCTACCGTGATTTTTTTGGTCCGTGAAAGCCTTGTCTCATACCGACCCCTACCACACTATGGACGTCGATCAAGAGCGGCGCCCGTCGCTCATTTACACAGTTGAGTCATGAAAATCCCCCCCTCAGGAATTTGCTCAGCGTACGGTTGCTGACACTCGCCGCTCGTGTTCGTCGTGTGGCTTCGCCCGCGGACTGCAGCGACTTGATGGGATGTACTACTATATGTATTCACGCGGCTACTATGTTTATTAGTTATAACTACAGGCTAGTTACTACGCGGATATTCGCTTGTTGACATGTTGGTATTATAGTCATGCGGCTGCACTGTGTTGTTACAGAACGCCATGCGTTGGTTACCCCCCCCCGTACCCCCCACACACACACATTCATGGGTACGGATGCACCGCACCCGCGTTCCCAATTTCTCCGGAAAAGTGGTACTTTTTGTCCAGCTATCTCCGTCCCGAGAATCCTTTAAAAAGGGGTACATTTAGCAGGTTTATCCGGAGAAATACAGAAAAGGGGGTATTTTTTTCAACTGGCTCGGAGATATTGGGCTGTTTAAGAGTGGTGTTTAAAACCAGCCGGTAATTAATAATCCCCAGCCGGTAATTGATAATCCCCGACTTTTATTTCTACCGAATAAAAGGAGGTATATTTCTACCGAGTTTTGAGATATGGGGTAGAAAACGAGGCGAAAAGGGGGTAAAAAATTATGGTCCTTGAGATATGGGTGTTTTTTGAATCGGGGAACAAGCGTAGGTGTCCACCTAATATGCTGAGTGAGGGGCCGGGATTGGTTACCACGCGGATGCATCGCGCAGTGTAGTTGTAGCGGTAGAATAAGGATACATACACTCCGGGTTAGGGTTAGGTGCCACTGTGAAGGGCATTAGGCCTACAACATAACTGCTCATCAAATCCGATCAAACACACATCTATTTAATAAAAGAGATGTCTCTCTATGCTGCAGCTATTATTGGGTTGAGTAACTACAGGCTCTTGGTGCCAAGTAGCTACTACGCGACTACCCACTTTCCTGCAGGTTGCGTTTGGTTGAAAGCATCGCGTATGATGTGTGATACGGAATGTTAGAGCAGGAACCCAGGGGGTCGGCCTAGCTGGAAAGGAAACAAATTTTCATGTATATAGTAATGATTCATGGACATACCCATGTAAGGAAATGGACGTCTGCTGAGCACCCTGTGGTGGCTGTGGTCAGTGGGGTCATTCGAAAGGCACCCCAAAATTAAGCTAGATTAGCTGGAAAGGAAACCTTCTGGGACCCATTGGAAAATGTTCGGCATAGTCCCAGGTATCGTGAATGGCCGCTGCCAGAATTTTTCACTGGTTGGGTGCGACCACCAAACGCCCTCAAATATGCCCCTACCCGGGTTCCCATTATTTAGCTAGACTAGCTGGAGAGGAAACCACTGATCCATCGGCCAACTTTGCTTGTCTACTTTCTTTTCATGTTGTTGATTTGATATATCTCCAATGTACAAAACACTCGATTTGAAGAAACAACATTTTTCCCTTATATATAGCACTTCTTTTCAACCATTTCATGTCTCATATATAGTGTCTTCAAAATCATGCGGACAAGAAAAATCACCTGAACAGTTTTTCTCATGAAGCCATACGGCAAATAAATTACAATTAAAATCAGGTATTTTACCTCTATAAAAGGAAACATCATTTGGCATAAATTTACACTTTCGAATCACACCAATGGATTATGCCTCCCAATTTAGCATCCAGTAATTAATCATAACTTTCTATTCTTCATTCACATTCAGTACTCAAATTTAGTTAATAGGATAAAAATCCATTTTGATATTTAACTATCAAATTTAGTTCAAATTGTCAACCATATTCAAACCACCATGTTTTATGTCATTTATCATATTTGATTTCTTAACTACAACACTTGCAGACCACCAAAGAAAGTGAAAAAATATTAATACAAGTTGTTTAATTAAAGTGCTCAGGCATGTAAATATTTCAGCTGTAGGCCTATATAGACAAAACGTTGGATAGTAATAGTCTATAAAATTTGTTGTTTCTTACAAGAACTTCCCTTCTTCCATATCCAAATCAGAGTCTTCATCTCTCCATGCTTCACCATCTGAATCGCTCAGTACTTCCAACACAGAATAATTTTATGTTCTGTCACCTTCAACTTTCATGTCCTCTGGTTTGTAATTGACATTTCAAAAACAATAAAAGTTTTCTGTTTTGGCACACAGCTTGTATCCTGTTGGTATTGCTAACACGCGCGTGACGTCACAAGACATAGTTATTCGCGGATTCTTCATACCTGCAGGCGTATAAGTTATATAAGTATAATATAAGTTATATAACACATAGAAGTTAGCAGTTAACGGCGACCGACGTCGGAGCGCATTTTCCCTGTGCATTAGCATAGCTGGAAATCGTGGCGCGATACTGCGAGCAAAGTGAAGCATGTAGATCAGATTTTACCATGCACACGTGCCGTCGGCCAGCCCGAGACTAGTTTAAACGCATGCGAACGGCCGAAAAAATGCTTTTGGCAGTCAACGGTGACCGACGCACGATCGCTCGCCACCTTCATGTACATTAATATCAGCATATAACTAATGGGTCTGTGTTAAAGTTAAAAAAAATCAAATATGATAAATGACATTAAACATGGTGGTTTGACATATTATGGTTGACATTTGGACTAAATTTGATAGTTAAATATCAAAATAAATTTTTTATCTAATTGTGTACTGAATGTAAATGAAGAATAGAAAGTTATGTTTAATTACTGTATTGCTAAATTGGGAGGCATTGATGTGATTTGGAATTGGAAAATTTAGGCCAAATGATGTTTCCTTTTATAGAGGTAAAATACCTGATTTTTATTGTGATTTATATATTTGCCGTATGGCTTCATGAGAGAAACTGTTCAGGTGCTTTTTCTTGTCCGCATGATTCTGAAGACACTATATATATCAGGAGTGTATAATAGGGAATCCCTATTATACACTCCTGATATATATATATATATATATATATCAGGAGTGTATAATAGGGATATTATACATATTATAGGGATCCCTATTATACACTCCTGATATATATATAATATATGAGAAATGAAGTGGTTGAAAGAAGTGCTATATATAAGGGAAAATGTTGTTTCATCAATCGAATGTTTTGTAAATTGGAGATTTGTTGGAAAGTTCCAGCTATCTGCAAATCAACAACATGAACAAAGGTGAATAACTCAAAGCTGGTCGATGATCAGTGGTTTCCTCTCCAGCTAATCTAGCTAATTATTGGGGGCCGGGTGGGCATATTTGGGGGGCGTCTGGTTGGCACACTCGCACCAGTGAAGAAATCCTGGCAGCGGCCATTCATGATACCTGGGACTTATTCCGAACATTCCAATGAGTTCCAGAAGGTTTCCTTTCCTGCTAATCTAGCTCATATTAGGGGTGGTGCATTTCGGGGCGCTGGCAGATACACCCACCATTGAAATATTCAGGCAGTGGCTATTTACGATACTGGACGCATGCGAACATTTTCCAACGGTTCCATTTAGGGGATGCTTCCAGCTAGTCTAGCTCAATTTCGGGGTACCGGTTATGCTAAAGTCTTGGCGAATACGCACCACCACTGAAGGATTCTGGAGTGTCATTCATGATTATGGGACAGGCGAACAATTTCCAAAAGATTCTATTGGTTGTGCCTCTCCAGGGTGCCAATTTTGGGTGCTTTAAATTTTAAAGGGGGAACTCGCTGATGCACAGCCCAACACAGGGTGCCTGGCAGACGTCCATTTTTTACATGAGTATGTCATGGAATGATTGCTATATACACAAATTGGTTTCCTTTCCAGCTAGGCTGACGCCGCTGGCTCCGGCATTGTAGGATTGTTTGCAGGTTTATGTTCTAGTTGATGAATAGTACAGAAAGCGCGGTTACAACGCTGGATTGCTTTCCAACTAACTATATCGGGGCCGAAAAACATCTCCACCGGAAAATAAAAGCATGAAACACCGCGAATA